GGAGGGTCCCCCTTCTTCGGCAGCCACCCCCCGCCCGCCCCAGCCATCTTCTCCGGGGATGCTGCGTTCTTCTCGGGATCCCGGGATGCTCGAGCAGAGAACAGAGCTCGTCCTCCAGAGCGAAGGGGTTTTTTGGGGTGGTGGGCGAGGGCGCCAGCCCCTGAGAGGGTCCCGAGGGTGAGGAAGGGTCAGGTTCTCCTCCCGGCGTGAGAAACCGCGGCCACCGCCTCTAGCCCCAGCACTGCTCCTGGCCTTCCTGGAGGCATCTCCCCACAGCTCCTCTCTGCCATCAGAGACCAAGGGACAGAACCAAAGGAGGTGAGGCCCGCTGAAAAGCCAGACCCGTGCCAAAGACGGAGGTGTCTTTTAATGAAGACGCCCGACGGGATGTGCATGAGCCCGCAGGCAGGTACTTCTGCAGGACACTTGCGGCTGCCCCCAACAAGAGGTTGAAGGGCAGGGTACGCAGGAATGCGTGGCTACTGACATCGCAGAGGACAAAGAGGCAGGCAGATTTTGAAAGCCACAGGCCCTTTTCAAGCTGAGAAAATGCAATTGTTTGCTCCAGCTCCTCACCTAAAAAGTAGTATTTTCCAAAGAGCTTCCCTTCAGGGAAGATGCAAAGATGAGTGCCATGAGAAAAGCCTTACTTCAGAACATCTGATAAACAAGCGGTCAGGGAGCTGCAGCTTTACCTCTAATGTCAACCTCTGGCTCTTCAGGGTTGTCTCTGAGGTCATCCCATGCTGCAGCACCCTGTCAATAGTGCAGGAGTACCACTGGGTGGGACACAATCAAACCCAACAAGCAATCATAGCCACGCCACCCAGCACGTCATCTCCTCTACACAGACCCCTCCACAACCCATCATTCCTTGTATCATGAGGAGACTCTACATTACCTTTGTTGTATTACGAGGTTGCAAAAGGCAGAGCTTTGACTGACAGCAGCTGAAGCCGGTTCAACTGTTGCCCTCTTTGTACTCTTCTGTACAAAGAGAGCCCTTCTGAGCTGCTTCTGATCCCCACAACCAAGCTCACTTCACTGTGTCCAGACTGATATCTTCCAGGCTGTGGAATCAACAACTAATCAACACATTTCAGGCCCTGCACCAAAAGCTGGTACAAATTTTCATTTTCTGAGCCTACATTCTGGTTTGATGGTAGACAGCTAGTGCCTTCAGGTGGTTAGCCAGACTCTTCCGCTGGCGTGCCAACCATCCACATAATTGTCATGTAAGCCTGTGAGGTGACCTGCCCAGTGGATTGCTTCTGACTGGTTGCCAGCCATCGTATATCCATGACAGCCTCGCGTCTTCAGGAAGCATCTGGTTGTGCCAGAACCATAGATAGGAATCATACCCACCTGATGTGGTCCATGCTTATAATAATCATAAGGGATAGTATTCCAACTTATTCTAGGGCTTCAGTTAGTAACTACCAGCACTAATAATTCACTGTTTTTTCTTTTGTAATCATGCTATAGGTGTGATGCCTAAGTCAGATAGTGACTTCGCACAACGGTACTATATTGCTGAGACACAAGCCTGTGGGAGGTGAGGATGCTAGTGTAAGGCAGGGGATAAGGTGTGATACTGGGAGGACACTGGTTTTGCCCCTTGCTGAGTGGCTAGTGCTGCAGAACTACATCTCTTGTGGGGTATTACGTTTGGCTTTGCTCCTTGATTTCGAAGACACAGAAACAGACTGCCAAGACGCTGCTGCTGCTCACCATCCCATACCAGCAGGAAGACACACTCTTAGAGTCCTGAGCCTTCTTTTGCTGTAGGTCATCTTCTCCATATCAGCCAGAGCTGCAGGAGTGGCATGATTTGTCCAAAAAAGTGGTAAGCCATTTGATAGCACAGGTCTGGCTGTGTGAAGCCCAAGCCCTATGGCTAGTGGCAGAGTGTCCCGAAAAGGCTGCGATGGGTAGAGTGGTACCAGGTATTTCCTGGCTCCTACCTAACATGAAGAAGAGGATTGCACAGAGCATCTGAAGGGGAATGCCACCAGTGGAAGCCCTGGAGCAGGACTGAGGGCATAGCTGACTTGTCCAAATCTGGTGGGTCTATGGGACCTGTATTAGAGGTGGGCTGCTCCAGTGAGGCATATCCCCAGGTAACCACCCTTGCTTTACCAGCTGAAGTACTCTCCTAGTAGCCCACATGGTGTTATCAGGGCGGGGGGAGGAGATGAAGACATAGGAGATGTGCCTTGAAAGTGCCACATAACACGCAGTAGTGATCCCTGGATAGAAGAGTCCTTGTCCAGAACACACGGAAATGATCAGCTTCCTTACAAATGATCCTCAAACACCTCTGTCTAGCCATGCTTTGCCAGGGAACACTCTTCCCAACGGTGACCTGTTCATAACAGATCTCTCAGAGAGTAATTTCCAGTGCTTGCCAGCTACTTTCCAGATGTGGTCTCTGAATAAAAGCTTCCCTTCTGGTGGGACAGTAAGCCAGCAGAACCTGCTCCGGCACGGCACAGCAGTGAGCCTGCCCAAATGTGTTTATCATGCAGAGCGAGATATTTGGACATCAGGAAGTACTGGGGTAATGTCCCCTGCTTCACCTTAATTCTGATGTGTGTGATGGTGTTATTACAGAGGCACTAATTATATATTTATGTGATCTTTTTCAGATAATAATTCAAAGATGTTTGATGAGCAGGTTCTCTAGTACACTTCCATAAATATCCCAAACATGCTTTCTTCATTCTTTTTAACAGTATTTTCATCTTCATTCAACGTGTTTTTGTAGCTGTGAATTATTTCCTAAGATTTCAATGCAAGAAACTTGGTAATTGCTCTGAAGCTACTCATAATTCTAAAGGAAAACACTAAAAGGGTGTTTTATCTCTTACACCAAAGTCTGAAAGCCAAGAAAATTTAAACTTCATGAAGCTGGTGGCACATGATACATGTCTTGGGCACTATGTTGATAAAAGCCTGAAATGTGTTTGTAAGTTGCTCTCTTTTCCCATTTCCCCATTAAACACCGAAGGCCTTCTCTATCTATCTTGTTTCTCCTAGAAATGCTTGCAGAACAAACAGCAAGAAGGGGCCTTGAAAAGGGACTTGTTCTCAGAGTGCTTTTAGTTCTATAGGTTTGTTCATTTTTCTCGATACCTGTTTGACTCGGATGTCTGAGGTTTGTTGCTTTCCCTGAAGAAGCTCCCAGTCCCCATCCCCAAAGACCTCTGCTCTTCAGCAAGCCAGAACCGAGAAAACTTGACTGTTCTGACAGTTTGATTTTTTTTTTTTAAGTTTAATTTGTTAAGACTAAAATTTCTGGTCTTCTTCTGACGCCGGAAAACTGCGCAGAAGGAGCGGGGGAGCCTTCCTAAGAGGACATCTTTGGGGGGACACACACCAAACTGAGAGCAGCCACCAGCTTCGCAGACCAAACCCTAGGCATGGTCTCCACCAGCCTTCTTCCTGCCTTCTCACCCAGAAGAGACAGACCGCCTTTGCCTGGCTAGGGTGTACCAAGCCCCCCCAGTCCCCCCAGTCCGCCCAGTCGGGGTTTGCGTGGCCGAGGGAGCCGGCAGCAGAGGGCAGCACGCTGCGGGCTGCCGGAGCCTGGAGCGCTGCCCGGTTGTTTGCAGCCGGGGTTGTTCTCTTCCCTCCCTCCGCCTTTCCCCCCACCTACCTGCCCGGCCACCCCCCTCACCACCACCTCCCCGAGGCTCTCCGCTGACCGGAGCTCCGGCCGGGGCAGCGGGGACAACGGGCAGCGGTTGCCCGTGGCCGGCGGGAGAGCGCATGGACCCGTGAGTGGGGGCACCGGGCGCGGACGGGACACGGGGGACCCGCAGCCACGTCTCTGCGGGGAGGGGACGGGAGGGTGAGACCCTGCCGGGAAGGAGAAGGGTCACAGGGGCGAAGCTGCTGCCCGTCTGTCCCTGCGCGGGCGCTCTGTTGGGGTCGAGGAAGGAGGATCTTCCTGGCTGATGTTTTCGGGAGATACGGGCGGTGAGGTTGTTCTGGGGGAACACGGAGGGAGGAAGAGGGGAGGTCTGCAGAATGAGGGGGGGAAAAAGAGTGCCAGCTTTCGGAGGAGAGAGGGCAAGGTGTCACTGGGTAGAGGACAGCCTAGCAAGCACTGCGGGATTGCTCCTCAGCAAGTGGAGCTGGAGCTCTTCAGATCCTCACCAGAGGAACTGGGCAAAGACCCGCAACTGGCAATAACCAGAAATGACCCACTGGCCCAGAGCCAGAGGGAACTAAACTTCCCCTGGTCCTAAGAGACCCAGCCCCATGACTGCCGGGAACAAGCAGATGTTGCTCACGGAATTCACCCGTGCTCCTTCTAACTATTTCCTGTCTTGATGAATCTTTTTGGCTGGGTCAGAATGCCTTGCTGGAACCTGGGCAGTGCTGGTGTCTTCATTTCAGCTGTCCTCGGTCCCGAGTGACCCAAGGCAGACATTGGACCTGCAACTAGACCTCCCGTGTTTGGATTCCATTAGACAGTGCACAAGTCACTTGTGAAGTCTCCCCTGATTTTGGATGACCTAATTTTGTGCAATGTCATAGTTTACTTGCCGTGTTCACAGGCACGTTCCTTTTCTCCCGTGGGCCTTCCTCTTTTTTGGAGTGATCAGTTCCAGTCCTGTCCCAAGAAAGCTTTTTGGGGAGATCAGATCCCCCGGTTACCCCAAGCCGTATCCCAACAATATCGTCAGCACCTGGGATATCCACGTCCCAGAAGGCTATGTGGTGAAACTGACCTTCAAATATTTTGACCTGGAGCCATCAGAGTCCTGCTTCTATGACTATGTTAAGGTATGTGCATAGATACCTGGGCCAAGGGGTGGCTGGAGATGGGAATCTAGTGGCCACCACATACAGTGGCTTTTCATTCACCAGGCCTCCTCTCATGCTTCCTGCAAAGGAAAGGGAAGGAGTTAAAGATAGAAATGGGTGGAGCAGGTTCTGGCAACTCACAGCTGGGTAATAGTGATGCACGGAGCAGACTGAATCTTATGAGGCTACAGTGATTTCCCCTTAACCTTGACAGATCAAAGCGGACAAGAAGAACTTGGGCCGATACTGTGGCCAGCTTGGGTCAACCACAGGCAATCACCCAGGAACAAAGGAGTTTGTGTCTAAGGGGAACAGGATGCACCTGGAGTTTCACTCCGATTTCTCCAATGAAGACAATGGCACAGTGATTCCCTACAGGGGCTTCCTGGCCTATTACCGAGCTGTGGGTGAGTAGGCAATACCCTCAGCATGCAGAAAGAAGCCTGGGTGGCTCCAACCAATTTTCCCCCTTGTCAGGCAAATAAAGAGAAGCTGTAAGCAAGGATATGGATCTCTGTGTACTTTCAGCGTACAGCAGAGCGGTTTAACACTTTCCTCCCCTTGTCCTTGCATCTGTTATGTCTTCAGATCTTGACGAATGTGACCCTAACAATGCTGCTGAGAAAGATGAAAGGCCTCAGTGCCAGCACTTCTGCCACAACTATGTGGGTGGCTACTTCTGTTCTTGCCGGACTGGCTACCAGCTTCAGAGTGACCACCACTCCTGCAAAGGTAAATTGGAATTTTGAAAGGTCAGAGGGTTCCAGGGAAGGAGCCCTTCAGCCAGGAAGGGTGGGAGAAGTGACTTGGGGAGCAGTTGACAGGGCTGCAGACAACACAGCTCCACAATGTGACCTCTGCTTTCTTCCTCTACACCACAGTGGAGTGCAGCAGTGAGTTGTTCACAGAGGCATCTGGGTATGTGAGCAGCCCTGAGTACCCGCAGCCTTATCCTGAAGACCTCCGGTGTAACTACAGCATCCGTTTGCAAAAGGGCCTGTCTGTCATCCTCAAGTTCTTGGAACCCTTTGAGATTGAAGAACACCAGCAAGTCCACTGTCCTTATGACCAGCTCAAGGTACTGGAGATTAGCAAACTCTACTTCCAACCCTGCTGCCAGACCTGGACAGGAGTTGTGGCGACACCACTATTCGGATGAGAAATACGGGATCAGTACAAGGAGAATGCCCCAGCATGAAGGACTGAGCTCTTCCCTTGTCCCTTCCTCAGTGTGCTTAATTACAATTGCCCTGAGGTCGGAGGCTCTGGGTCACAGGCCCCTGTGAGTGAAGCCAAAAAATTCATCCTTCTTCCAGTCTTATCTCCCTTTGATTTAATCTCAGGATGTACTGATGGGTCAGCCAGCCAGCCCTGTTCACCATCATAGGCACTGTGGCAAACCTGGTCTGGATTGAAACAGGGACACTGAGGCAGAGAGGCATGTGTGGTTTTGATGTGTGTTTCTGTCCCTGTGATGCATGTTTTCCTCATCAGATCCAAGCACCAGGGAGAGAGATTGGTGAATTCTGTGGCAAGAAGTCACCTGGCAGCATTGAAACCAACAGCAATGAAGTGGACATACTCTTCCTCACTGACGAGTCAGGGTACAGCCGTGGCTGGAAGATCCACTACACCTCAGAGAGTAAGATGTTTCTTCTCCAGAGGCTACTGCAGCCTATCTACGCCATTTGTTAATACCAACTTTGTCCCATTCTCCAACAGAAATACGGTGCCCACAGCCTGTCCCACAGGATCAGTTTACCATCATCAGAGACCTGCAGCCTGTGTATCAGTTTCAGGACTATTTCATTGTCAGCTGCAAGACTGGGTATAACTTGGTAAAGGTGAGATCCCTTCTCCACTCCCTTCAGCCATATTCTGGCTTCTCTTCAGCTTCTGGAAGTCTTTCACCTTTCAGTAAAATTTTCTTTGGAGATTTCACTCATGGCAACCTCTTGCAATTCCTGTTTCTTCCCTGCTTCTTTCGGCTTTCTTCCAGTGGTTTCGCCTTTCCTGGCTCCCTTCCTTATGCAGTTACTCTTTCACAAAGCCCTGGTAGAAGATGAGAGACAAAGATCCCAGGAGGCACTGGTAAACAAGAATATCTCTTTGGAAGGATATGAAATCAGACTTGAAGCAGAAGATGTTACCTGCCTCCCTTGCCATCCTATTGCCAGGACTGGGTAGTGCCCCAGACTTGTCACGGTTTTATGATCACTGGCTGCTGATATCTTGGCCTGCTATGAAGAATTTGTAGCCTGTGGCAAACACAGGATAGAGAGAAGGCAGCAAAGGGAGAGAAGAGCAATTGGAACAGACTGCAGAGGGGCAACTATTGGACAGCAGTGAAAAGATGGGCAGACAGAATAATATTCTAATGTGGGGAAGGGAATGTAAGGTTCTGTACAACCAAGAGAGATGTTTTTCTTTCCCATGCAGGACAACAAAAAGCTGCTGTCCTTCACGGCTGTCTGCCAGGCTGATGGGACATGGCATCAATCCATGCCACGCTGTGAAAGTGAGTGATCTGACAACAGGGGTTATGACCCCTGCCATGGCTTTCCCCCTCCAAGGACATGGGGAATTCAGCTTCTTTGACTCAATTTGTCTGTGGCTATAGACTCATGGATATGCTGGTTGGAAGGACCTGTGGAGGTCCACTGTTGACTTTCATTACATTTTTCCACTTGCGAAAACTTAAACGTTTTTCCTCCCTTACCAAAACGCATGAAACACCACTATAAATTTGCTATAATGTTGTAATATCTAAAAGCAAAAGATCCCAGTCTGGGATCCATTATGAAACAACCTCTCTCTGCCTGCTGTACTGACTGGTCCTTCACATCATGGCCACAATCCAAGTCAAGCCTAAACCTGCAGGCAGTAAGGCTGTCTTTAATTCATCTCTTTTTTTTGCCTTTTTGTAGTTGTGAACTGTGGCAACCCTGCAGACCTGACCAATGGGGCATTCAGCTATGTTAACAAACCCGCAAACAACAACTACCAGTCAGTGATCACATACCGATGCAATGAGCCATATTATCACATTGTCACCGGAACAGGCGGTGGTGAGTCCTAATCCCACACAGACATTGAAATCTGTGCCTGAGAAGTCCTCTCAGATTTCCAGTTAGAATTGTCTCTGCTCCCCAGGCTAGGGCTCATGCTTTCCTCCTGTGAAAGCTCTCCAATCTTTCCTTGGATCTCCAGCATAGCTCCCGAGGCTTGTTGTCTCAGCCTGTTCCCACCCTGCTTCATTCTCAGAGTCCAGCGCATCCCTCCTCCATGCTCTCCTTAACTTTTGCAGACTTATTCTCTCCTCTGTAGTCACGATTTATTCTTCTCTAGTGGATTTCATTCTTTCACTGAAATTTGAGGCATGGTGTCGGGAATCACCAAAATCCTGAAACTTCACCACGCCAGTCCGAGTTGCTGCAGGTGCAAATAAATAAACTCACACTCCAATCCACTGTAACGCTGTTTACCTCTTTGGACTATTGTTCAGGAGCAGAGACATCTGAGGGCTAATTAATATACATACAGAAAAATCTATTTTTATGCAGCAGGTCAGAAAAACTAAGGGAACACTGAGAGCCATTCACATGCCTTCTTTTTGCACCTGAGACATGATTTGATGACACAGGAGCTTTGGTTACAAGAACAGTATAAGGAGTTCATGATTTCCTTGCCTTGGCTGCTCATTTAGCTTCCACTAAAAGATGTAGATTTTTAAGCTGAATCAGTTCCTGGATATGGTTGCCAGCATGGATGCACAGTTGTGCAGCATGCCTGAGAGAGGTGACATGCTAGCATTGGGGCCAGGAGCAAGCAGCTAAGGAGTTCTTTAAGTTGGTACTGACGTTGAATTTGATCATTCTTGCATCTGAGTTTAACTCTTTCATAAAGAGTCAGAGCTCAATCTAATCAGAAAAAAATCAGGAGTAAGTAAATATCAGCATCAGCCAAATTCTGATGGGGATTGATTTAGTCAATTTTGAAAGACAATAGCAAACACTTTCTTGGAAGCATTTACTACAGTGTAAGATAAATTGTGTATAAATTGGTTTTAGTCACCAGCACAAACTTTCTGAGAGCAAGAACGTTGGAGGTAGTGGAGTTTGTGTTGAGAGGTGACATGCAAGTTAGCTGACCTGTGATAGAGCCTCAGAAATAGATACTGAGCATGTACAGTAACTGACTCATCTTTTTCCTGTTTCTGGAACAAACCACCTTATCCTACTCTCTGCAAACTACAGAGACCAGAAACTTGAATCTAGAGTCCATGTCTATACTTGTTCTCTCCCTTCTTTGGACTAAATAAGGTCAAACCGTGCTCTGTAAGCATGTGGACTGAGTGAATTAAAACTTCACTCATTGCTCTTCAGGCTTTTCTTCTACAGAAGCAGTGCCTGAGCTTTACTGGTCCCCTGGAACTGAGGTGTTTTGAGATGTACATGCTATCCCAAATGGAGGCATTCCAGACTATACCACAGGCGGCTTTTCCTGGGAAAGGATGCCTTTGGGATGGAAGGGCCGAGTGCACCTGGGAGAGAGGAACCCCTTGAAAATATCTTCTCTTCTCTTCCTCTTCTCTGCTCTTCTCTTCTCTTCTTTCTTCCCACCCCATGCCTGCAAGCCTGGGTCTCATTCACTTCCCTCTCATCCTACAGACACATTCACCTGCTCTCCTGAGGGAACCTGGGTGGGTCGAGACGGCCAGACGAGGATTCCTGCCTGCTTGCCAGGTCAGTAAAAAACTGTCTTTGTCTGGTGTTCACCAATTCATGCTTACAGTCAGTACAAAGCTGGGACAACATGCAAGGAGGAGGATGGTATCAGTGAGGGAGGACAGGGAAATCTATCCAGGAAGGCAAAAATAAGGTGAAATCGAATAGTGATGGTGTAGGACAGAGAGAGACAAGCCAGGGCGACAGAGGGTGTCATGATCTCCTTGCATTTCTCCACAGTGTGTGGGAAGCCGGTCAGACCCATTACCGAAGTCCAGCGGATCTTGGGCGGCAGGTCAGCAGGGACAGGCAATTTCCCTTGGCAGGCTCTGACGGGCATCCACGGACGAGGGGGTGGTGCGCTCCTGGGCGATCGCTGGATCCTGACCGCTGCCCACACCATCTTCCCCAAAGAGGCAGGAGGGAACAATGTAAGCCTGGACCAGCTAGCAGAGGAGGCTAACATTTTCCTTGGCCACACCAAGGTAGAAGAGCTCCGCAAGATGGGTAACCACCCTATACGTAGGATCTTTATCCATCCAGATTACAACCCTAAAGATGAGCACAACTTCAATGGGGACATAGCCCTGCTGGAGCTGAAACATCCAGTAACCCTGGGCCCTACAGTGCTGCCCATCTGTCTCCCTGATACTACCAACACCACGTTCTACATGGATGGGCGCAAGGGCTACGTGAGCGGCTTTGGTGTGGAAAAAAACTTTATTTCAAATGAGTTGAAGTACGTGAGCCTACCAGTGATCGCTCAAGAGAGGTGTCAGAGTTGGCTGGACAGTAAGAAGAGAGATGTACCTATGGTCTTCACTGAGAACATGTTCTGTGCTGGCTTCCTCACAATCAAACAGGATACCTGCCAGGGAGATAGTGGGAGTGTCTTCACCGTGTTAGACGCAGAAAGCGGTCGCTGGGTGGCTACCGGTATTGTTTCTTGGGGTATTGGCTGTGCCGAAGGTTACGGCTTCTACACCAAGATCCTCAACTATGTGGACTGGATCAAAGGGATAGTAAGGGAGGATAGGCTCTAAATGTTGCTGTCCTACTAGCTGAAGAATCACTGATAGCATATAAATTTCCAGACAGAGCAGATCATATCTAAAGCTTTTGATGATGTCCCAAAGGCTTTTCAAACATGCAGACCATGTAACCTTCATCCTGAGCACTTCTGAAAGCCGCCATACTGTTTGGTGAATTCTTGGTGGTACCATCAAAACTTACCAAAGCTGCTGTTCTATTGGCAGCTTGTGGGACGCCTTTGTGGATATTCTAGTTCTTCCAAAGCTTATTACTGGATGAAGTCTTAATAATATCAGGAAATCTCATGACAACAAACATGTTATTGTTCAAAGTGCTGATGAGATCGTCAGACTACTGCAGTCTACTTTTGTACTCTATTGTGTGGGAAGGTTGCGGGGCAGCAGACTTTCTTGAAGGATGTGGTACTTTGTGCTGAGTACAGTGTGCATATGCCCACTGGCATCAGTGAGATTCTATGAATATTAAAATAATTGCTGGAGAAACCAGGTGTGTTATGTTTTTCTGTCTTTGTTTTTAACAACTACTAAATAATTCCCATCACTGAAAGCAATTTATGGACTTTATATAGGGATTGCTCTACCTACCACTAAAGTGTTTCCAGTTCTGCAACGGCATGTGGCAGTTGCTCATCTGTCACAGAACTACCATTAGATTACCCAGTCTGAAACTCCAGGTGGCTTCAAGGGAGGCAAAAATAAGCTGTCTGTGTGATGCCGCATTCAAAAGACAGGGAAGACACCAAGCTCATGGAGAAAAGAGCCCAGGAACCTTTACTGATCAGAATTTGAGGATGGATTTTCTTTGTGTACTATATGAAATAAAGTTCTGACTGCAGGACAGCAGCTCTAAAATGATGCTGACTCAGGGAGAAGATGACCCCTCTTGTGTTGTGGGTATTCTCTGGAGTTGTCTCTTGACTAGTTTTGCTCCTGCAGAACAACCTACCTTTTTCTTGGGGGTCACTGAGGGAACTGAAGTCTGCAAGAGCTTGACAGGGGAACTTGGGGTGGGGGGGTAAGGTCATAGTTGCCTTCTCGCACTGTTTTCTGTGAGATCCAGCTCCAGATCTTCTCAGGTCTCAGTATCTCTCATTTGCTTTTGAGATAATATACCCTGGGGAGTGATCTGTGAAATTGCACATCTGATATAAATTCATCCATGATCTCCAGGGGTCAGAATTCTGTTAATTTTTCCCATTTGTATGGGCAAGAGGGGAGCATGAGAGGCAAGAAAAGCATGGAAAAACAAGGTGTCTGGTTGCACAGGAGCAATGGATAAACCCTGGTTCGGGGGAGGGAAGGGAGAATAAGGCATACGCAACTGGGGGGTATTCCAGGTGAAGACCAGGGAATTTCTGGGATGCTCAGTGAGTACAGGTGACAAGAACAATAACACACCTAACTCTTCAGTCCTTGTAGAAATTGGGAAAAATTACTGAGAAGCCATCTTAAAAGAATCTCCGGCTTTGCAGGAGACTAGAAACTTTGGGAAACTGAGGCATGGAGAATAGAAGATTTGCCCAAAATCCCTACAGGAATTTGTGACCCTTCTAGGAATAGCAATCCCAGCTAAGTAAGTATCTTTTTTGTCTCCTACTCCTGGACCATTCAGCCACATATCTGTTTCTCTTCTCCTCTGCTGTCCTGAATTGATTTCAGCAGCTTGTCTTCCTGTCCTTTTCCAGAAAGACTGGAGTTAATCAGTGAGCTAGTGAGTAATCATGCGACACTGCTTGCCTGAGTGGCTTTGTGGTCATAGAAGCAAAGGAAATGTCTTACCTTAGTTTGAAGGTCACTTTTTCAGAATTTAAAATGGATTAATTTTCCCCAAATTGTACTTTGTTGAACAGATGCTGCTGCTGAAGTACCCATCTCATACCAAAGCAGAAGCTTCCTAATAGCCAGACATAGCAGTCTGTAAGATTTCCAGTGGCTTTTGCTCATGATTACCCCAGATGTTTGGGCATGTCTGAATGATTTATGAAATTCTAATACATACAGTGAAGTTATAAAATATTGTTACAACGGCACCACTGCATCATGATTGTTTCTTTGCCAGCATATAGTCACCTCTTTGCACAAGAGGAACACGGGCTAAGACTGCAGCCTGGACTAGTTACCAGGGTTGGATACCTCCCTTGCACTCCAAAAGATGAAAGCTGAGATGAGTCCACCTACTTAGCAACAAGAAGGAATGATTATAAAACTTCATACTAGATTAAAGTTGGCACATACAGATAGAAAAGTGAAAAGCTGTCGGTCACAGTTCCTCAGCAGTGTAGTATAAGATCCTTGTTTACTAGCCCAACAGCAAAATAACCTTTTGCTTGTTACACAAAATTGAAGGTGCTTGAGCTGAGTGCAGGAATCTATATGAAATCTCCCAAGACCTGCACACATCTTCCTCACCATTTCCTAGACTCTCAGAAAACCTTAGGCTGGAAGAGGAGGTCTCTAGTCCAATCCACTGCTGACAGCAGGACTAACTTCAGAGCTTCAGGGCCTTGCCTGGGCAAGTTATGAAGATGTCCAGGGATTATGGCACTTGTTCCAGTGCTGACCCACACCCTGGGAAAAAGCCCAACTGGAAATTCCTTCATTGCAATTCATGTCTATTGTCTCTTGTCCTGTCACTCTTCACCTTTCTGCAGAGTCTTGCTCTGTATACTCTCTAGTTCTCCTTTAGGTATCTGAATACAGCAGTTAGATCCCCCTCTTAGCTTCCTCCTTTTCAAGGTGAACAAACTCGGCTTCCTCCGTCTTTCATCATATGCCATCTGCACCAGTTCCCTGACCATCTTAGTGGAAGGATATCTGTGAGTGATATAGGGCTTTCTGGAGCAGAAGACACCCCTAACGCACATCAGGTAATCTTCTCCCACAACACCAACTTCCCTAAATCAAGCTAGCTTTATTTCTTACCTAACACAATAAAGTTTGAAAAATAAAGCCCTGAGGACAGGTGAATGAAAAGATTTTGAAGATGTCTCTTCTGGTCAGCTTGATTCAGAAGTCTGAAGTCCTCACTGCTGGTAATGGTCGGTCAATGAGATGCAACAATCTCAGAAGAACTTCATAAAGACTCTTAGGTAGAGAGGTGAAGTAGCACAAGTTACAGCTTCACAAAAGCTGGCAGAACAGTGGGTCAAAATGTGACTAGACACTTGATTTAGGGAGTTTCAGGGAGAACTAGGTCTAGACTGAGAAGAAGAAAGGCAATACACACACAACAGCACATTGCACAAAAGGCAATTTGGATATTCTTTAATGCTGTTAGGTATTCTGAACAGTACAGGAAATAACATAAATCAGAAGCCAGGCTCTGAACCTACCCTGGGAACAAACCATTATTCTCTCTTTGTCTTCATTGAAATCTCCCTGTCAGGTCGGGCATGGCTAGGTCTTCTCCAAATGGGAAAAAATGAGACAGAAAAAAACGAGAGGAAGCAGAAGGAGCCTCTTTATCCAGAATAGCATCTTCCTCTTACGCTGCTGTGAGTGGAAGAAAGAGAATTTCCCCTCCCAGACACGACGACAGTGGGAGGAACAGATTTATATTGCTGACTCTCCTCTCAGCACAGACACAATGAGTAGACCCGTTACATACACAGAGTGAACAGGATCACAGCCAGCTTGAACATGTAACCATCACATTTAGAAAGGGTGACTGTGCTGAAAGGAGAAATTGCTAATCCTGCCAAGTTTCTTCACTCTCATGCTTGCTCATGGTCTCTGTAATCCAGTCCAAATACCGCACTACCTTGGTGTAAAGACCAAAGGTACCACATCTTGGTCCCCAGGAGATCAGCCCGGCCACATAGTACCGCCCATCATCAAGAGGATCTTGGATAGCGTAGGCTCCACCGCTATCCCCCTTACAGCTGTCCTTGTCACCACCAGCACAGATCATATTGTCAGTGAATCGGTAAGCACTGGAATCAGTGGAGCCCTCTGGTTTCACAGATCGGCACTTTTCCATGTCCACCACAGGAATCTGGGCCTTCCAAAGATAAATAGGCAGTCTTCCCTTCTCTCTCTGGCCCCAGCCAGCAATGTAGCCCAGAGTCCCTTCTTGCAGCTCATACTCGGATGATTTACCAGGAAGACAGAGGGGTGAGATGTCTGGGCCCATCTTCACAGGTTCCCTCAGCTTCAGTAGTGCAATATCATTATCAAAATCGGTCCTGGTTTCTATGGGCTGCTTCTTCCAATCAGGATGGATGAATGAAGCCTCTGAGACCAACCGCTTGCCCTCCTTGTACAGAGTGTTTTTACCAACATTGATTACCCCAGCATACATGTTGGGGTTGTCGTATCCCTCCAGCACATGAGCTGCAGTCATTACCCATCTTTCAGAGATGAGTACGCCACCGCCTCTTGGGTAATCGAAATACACCTGCCAGGGAAAGTTGCCCTTTTCTGCACGGGTGCCTCCAAAAATCTTTCCTTTCTCTTTGATGGGATTACTAGGCACCCCACAGACTGGGAAGAAAAGAAAACAAGAGGAACCAGATGAGAGAATTAGCAGTTACAAATAGCGGGTTCTTTGGTACTGCTAAAAAGCCCATAGTCCCCTCCTTCCTGTGTCCTCTAAATCATTTTTGATTCTGAAAAACCGATGTTTATATTCTATGTCATAAAGTTTGCAACTAGTATTTACAGAGAAATTCAGGAAAATTCAAGCAAAACTATCAACATTCAATTTAGGCTGAAAATACTCATTCTCAAATTCTTGTTCTGGAAAGCAGTTGTCACTGTTGGGTATGTCAAAGCTCACAATTTAATTGCATTCTGGTTAGCATTTTTCCTTTGCTGAATTATGTCCTGTAGGTGAAGGTATTGTCTTTGAAAAAATATTTGCCTAAGTTCTTAGAAATATGACACTGCTATTTAAAATGATTTTTTGTGTGTGTGTGAACTCCAGATAGTCTCAGGTTAAGTGTTCAGTTTTGTCACTGATGTTTACCATTTTTCCTCTCCATTCTCTTAGTATGTAAAATCTTAAGCAGTGGGTTAATGGAGGTCTTATCTGTGGGTCTTATGGGTGCAGAGGTGCTCCATGGTCCTTGAGTAAAATGTTCTGTAAGGTTTCATAGAATGTGAGCACTAAGAGCATAAATAAGGCTGGTCATTCTGACATAGCTAGGAAATCGATTTCTTATCACATTGCCTTGTTTACATTGAAGCCTTAGTCATATAGTCAGAGATTAAGGAACTACAGCCGGTAGGTAGGTTCCAATTTAAATGAAGCAGAGTTTGTTAAAAAATTTCATGTAATCATAGAAAGATTTAGGCTGGGAGGTACCTCTCAATGTCTCTAGTTCAACCTGTTCATCCCTAACTGCCCTTCCCCCTGCCCTCCTAACTGCAAAGCCAGGTTGCTCAGGGGCTTTGACAGGTGACTTCTGATCATCTCCAAGTGTGGTGATTAGCCAGCCTCTCTGGATGACAGTTCCAGTGCTCTGGGGGAGCATTTTTCCTTAAATACAATCAGAATTTCCTTTGTTGCAACTTATGTCCGTTGCCTGTCTTTGTCTTTTATTGCTGTGTCCCGCTAAGAGTCTGGCTTCGTATTCTACAAAGAATTTAGTATCTACAAAGTTACTACTTTCTGTTGGGTAGTAAATTCCCTGAGCTTTATCTTACAATTTGCCTTCTGCACTGTGCACTGGTACAGTCCAAGTCACTGGCTGAGCTGGCCCTTAAGAGGGTTGAATCATCTTCAGCTGGATCCTGTACTTTGCCAATGAGGATTTGGGTGTTTGGAGTAGTAAACAGGCATCATGTACAACTAGTCCTAGGCATGCTGCCTCCTCTAAGAGGGTAAGCTGAACAGCGTGCAGAATACGTAGGATTTAAAATTCTCTGTATCAGCTGGAAATTAAGACCCAGCCATAACTTCCAGCAGTCAGGAGCAGGAGTAATACCCATGCACTTCCCTCAGTATCTCCCAAGGACACAAAGAGAGGATGAGAAAGTCCTTGACAGGGATCTTGCTTGACCTTTCAGACCCAGTAAGTGCAGCTGAATACTGAAGGACACATTAAAACTTAAGGGTTTAGGCTATGACTTCCAGTGAGAGCAGTGAAAGACCTTTCCCTATAGTGCTGCATCTGTAGTGCCCAGTAGACAGCTGGGCACTACCCCCAAGAGAGGTTTGAAGAGAAGCTACGGCTCTCAGTGTAGCTTGGGAGGGACCAAAGACAGAAAGGTCCAGCATTGTCGGACATCGCTTTTTGACCTGTCAGTCTTTTTGCTACCTGCAATGCAGACAGAGATCTAAAGCACTGAACAACTTGAGAATGTGCACACTTGAAGGTAGAGAAACTGGTGCAGAAACACACACTGATACTTGAAGAGGTCTTGTTCTACCAGTTGTCTTATGATGTTGCCCACTTTTGTTTCCAGTTTCTTTCTGCTGACTCATCTGAACTTTCTTTGGGGCCCACAGCTTTCAGAAATACCCTGTCCAATGTGATTCAAACAATGCAGAAAGGATCAACTGTACTTTTGGGCTTAACAGCTTTAAAAGAGAGAGATGAAAGAAGCAGTGGACTTCATATATCACGTGTACATATACACAGTTTTTGGTAGTACCTGGGACACATTTTGGTAGATTTGTTCCCATCTCTTTGTTGACCCATTCTCCACTGGCTGAGCACTGATACACCGCTTGGAAAACACAAGAAAAAAAGAGTGCCATAAGGATACGATCAAAATGAAGAGAGGGTAAGTAGCATTACTGTATAAGATGATGTATTAACCTTCTCATTTCCAAAGCAAGCAGAGCTTGGTAAACATTGCTGAGATCTCCCTAGAAGTACACAACCCCACCAGGGTGCTTCAGCCGCTGTTTCAGAGGGACCTCATCTAATGGATTTCTGGAGTCCTTTACTTCTCCACCAGAAATGTGTGCTATATGTGACAAAAATCTCCATGGTTCACACACGCACCAAATGGAGAGAGGACTTGCTAATGCATTTAAGGTCAACGGCCCAAGTACAGACGTTTCTAGTGTATTAAACACAAAAGCAACACAAAACTGCTGCTTGCAACCCCACCACCAATAAGAACTTTTTCCCAGTCTTGACATGATGGGATACAATCCCAGCCCCGTGACGATGCCAGTACCGTTTCTTAGACCAAAGAAATATGTTTGTGTAGCAGAGGCAATGCTTACCATCCCCTTTGGTTTTCAGGGTATAGTAAGGTGCATCACATTGATACCGGAAAGCAGCTTTGTACAGAGGCTCGTGACGTTCAGAGACATATATGGCTTGGGCATTGTCAACAGCAATGGGGTCACCGCAGTTCACAGCTGTAGAGAAGAAACAAAAATGATCAAATATAACCAAAGGGGCAGCCTCACCCAACGATATGATTATTCCGTATGATGGGGAACCACTCAGCTCCTCTGGTCCCTGTACAGTCATCAGCGCTCACTTCCTCTGTCCCTTCAGCATGCTCACATCCCAGTCCTTCCACATTCTCCTAATGTGGAGATATAGTGGGTCTAGAGCCTGAAGGCTCCATTCCAGTCTGCTTCCCACAATACAGAGACAGCTCACTTACGAACACAGCTGAAATGGGAGTTGCTCCATTCACCGTTCTCCTGACAGTTGGAGTGAAAAGTCCTGATGCTGTCTCGTTGCTAGGGAAAAGAACACATGATCCGTGTAAGTCGCTGACCATGAAATATATCGGACACAGGCACTCCAGCGAAGGGTCCTCAAAATGTTGCAGTGGCTGGAAGAGGTTTCCACTTACTACAGCTGTGGTGAAAACATTTGAGTCCCCATAGGTGCTCAGGACACCTGATGGGAAACGGCATCAGGAAGCTGCTGAGGGGGCCAGAGAGGATATATGCTTTTTTAAGTAACTTACCCTCACAATTTCATAGCCTTCCACACAGGTCACATTCACACTGTCCTTTAAGATATACCTCTCCTTCTTTGGGTCAAGAACAGAGTTGGGGATGACACTCGGGGGACAGGTTACAGCTTTGAAGAGATAGGTGGAAATCAGTGATTAACTGCTTCAAGATTTATTCTCCTTCCAGCTCCCAACTTCTTTCTCCCCAGTGACTATTTTCCCTAGTAAACAGGCATCCTCTGTTTACTCAATACCAGCAGCTGTGAACATGTTAATGTGCTGTTGTACCATGAATCTGACCTGGGACAAACTCTCTCCCTAACTCAGCAGCAGAGGGAACGCTTTCCCAGCTGTTTACTTACGATCCCCATAGTAGCGTATTTTCCAGCCTTTGTGCTGAACTGCATGGTTTGTCTGGAAGATTATGTCAAGAATGTTGTTCCTAGTTTTGATTTCAGGAGGACCTGGGAATTTGCTGCCACAATAGGGACCAAAATGCTGCTTTCCAGAGACAAGCTGGGAAAATAATAAACAAGAAGAAATGAGAAATACCAGATGTATTCAGAGGGATATTCAAATATATATTCAATATATACATATTCAAATGTATTCCCAAGAACTTCAAAAGGCAACATAGTTGAAAACAAAGTTAGGCAGTCAGAGAGTCTTCTGAATATGAGGAGATTGAGGGGAGATCCAGAGTATCCTCACTCCCACCCTAAACCCCACACCTACTGTTAAGCTGTCGTGGCAACTCCCTTCTGGGTCGGCTGGTTCCACATCGAAGTCCCCACTGCTTATGGTCAACGCCACAAAGAAGCCTGGCCTCAGAGCCACTCGGTACTCACACCGCGAGTTCTCTGGGTACTGGTTGGGATAGTTGGGGCTGGCAATCTCCCCCGATGGCTCAGTGAAGACATTTCCACTGCAGTTCACTAGGATTAAGGAAGGAACACAGGTAGGATTCAGAAAGGAAATGGTCCGTGTATGAAGCTGACAAGCTTTCCGTCTTCGACTACATCTCCAGTCCCCCCAGTCACCTGCATTAACTACGTCACAACATTGCATCTTTCCAAGAAACTGAAACCAGGGCCACTCTCTGTTCAGGGACTTTAACTTCTAGTGGCTTTTCTTTTTACCTTCCACCTGCGATTTAGGCCCCCTTCTCTCATGCTCAGGTCCTCATATTATGCTCCTTCCAATATGTACCACTTGTGACTTTGCAATTTTTTGATTCAAGCCAAGCAGCTCCTTGGCTATTTTTGTGTCTTTATTGAACCGCCCTGTTTGGTCAGAAATGTAAAGATTCACAGATAGCAGTACGCTAAGAAGGGTCCCCATCACAGTCTTTAAAGAATGGCATTTAGTAGTTTCTTAATTCTCTTGACACACAAAAAAAAGAATGTTAAGAATATGTTAACAGAAATTCCCCAAATCACGGTCTACTGCCAGTTCAGATTTGCACTGGGATGTTTTTTTCCTCAACATGCACCTGTCACAACTGGTTAAGAAGGTTGATAGAAAAGGTCTTCCACGTACAATATCCCATTTGGCATAAATTAACTCTTCCTCTTGAGCACAGCTCATGTAGATCTCTTACCTCCACATGTTTTCTGATCCTCATAGAGGAAATAATCTGGTGGACAGGTACAGAAGTAACCTCCAATATAATTATTACAGTAATGACTGCAAGGTACATCCACAAAATCCGTGCACTCATCCAAGTCTGCAAGTGTGAAAAGATGAATCAGCCAAGATTAGGAGAGGGCCCTAAGGGTGGGAGGAAGGTGAGAAAGGGAAGCAAGCACTGGTGGACAACAAGGAAAAGGTATCTCTAAGACAGCATTTATACTGGCCATACAGGAAAGCAGTCCTGTCTGCTGGGATCTCTTTTAAATAAGGCATTCTTGTAATGAAAACTTACAAGCCTTCTGTCAGCTTACCCCCCTGCCAGCCTGGATGCTACAGAGAATGAGAGGAGGCCATTATAACCTTACCCACTGCAACATAGTAGGCTGCAAAACCAGTGAAACGCTCCTCATTGGAAAAGTCTGATTGGAAGCTCATAGTGAGGGTGTTAGAAGGGACAAGAAATTCCTCCACAATCGAGGAGCCAGGGGCACGAGGTTTCTTCCGCCCACAAAGCACGCCTTCAACACGGCCATCAGACAGGATCTGCAGAAGAATGCAGAGAGGTCTTATCTCATTACCGGAATATGTGTAATTACCAACACTTGAGTCTTTCAGCTTATAGGTGGCTAATCAAAGGCCCCTAAGTTGCATGCGTTTCTCACAACATTCGGGTAGATCTCCCAGGGCACCGCTATGCCACACAGCTAGCAGGAGGGACCAAGGCTGCTGCGTCATCCACCAAGCTGGCCAAAGGTGGAACACAGCCGGCCAAGGTACAGCTGAACAGAGCCCCTAGACAACCAGTTTCAAGACATTTGGAAGACGCCTGAGGAGCGTTCCCTCCTGCTGACTTCCCAGCTGTGAAATACCTGTCTTAATTTCTCACATACAAATTAATCCAGAAAGCTCTCTGTTAACATCCTTTCCTCAGGCCCCTTTGGACAAAAAAACAGCATCATGGTTCAAAATGGCAAAACCAATCACTGACGGTCTGCAGAGCAGTCTAGCAAGTTCATCAATTTGTTGCAAAAGGTCCTTCTCCAAGGTGTCTTTCTGGTGCTGCACCCGGTCTTATTCACCCATAGCTATTGCAGGATAGGATGGTCTTGTTCCTGTCTGTTTGTGCGGAAATGCTGGATCTTTTGTGCCTTGTGGGACGCCATGGAGCAGAGCTAGTGGGTGTCTAAGTTTTAAGAAACCTGTGGGGCATAGATCATAGAAAACTGTGGTGCAATGGACCACAGCACTTTGTCTGAGTGCCCACTATTCATGCACAGATCTCCTGACTGTTTTTAACCTCCATCATTTCCAATCAATTTCTGATTGCATTAAATTATCTGTGTCCACTCATGGATTAATTCTGAATAATTTCAGGGACAGAAAAGCAATGCCCTAAGAAAATGGTCCTTTTATACCTACAGTTCGCTGGCTAAGAATATGCCTTGCAATAGAGAGGTGCCAGTGATGGCTAAGAAGGCTTTTCCTATGAATATAGGAGAAACATGGGGAGGAGGGCATAGATTGGACACTCAGTTGGTATACAATGCTCATGAGGTTATGAGGCAAACTCAAATCAATTTAGTGACCGCTAGTGCAGATACACTCAGTCATTTGGGCTTCTTGGGGCTCAGAACAGGAAGGATGTGTCCATCTTCTCTTTCAGCCCTGAGCTTTGTACACAGCTTTGCTGTTCTGTGCTCTAAGCTGCCTTTTTGCCTTTTTCTCACTTGAGGACGGGGACAGTACCTTCACAAAGTCATACTGGCAGTTCTGCGATGGTTCAAGATCCATGTGTGTGAAATAAAGACGAATGCCATATCCTGAAGGGACCTGGATTTCCCAAGACTCCTGCACATCATTGGGATACACCTGAGGATAATTGGGTGACAAGATCTCACCATACATGGAGTCTGCATCAGCCCAGACAGGGAGACAGAAGAAGATAAGATACCTGAGAAAAGAGGAAGGAAGATGTCATTGCAGTAGTCTTCTCTGTCTGCATACGCACGCACTCCCCAGTGAAAAAGCTAGTCTTTGGCTGTACATAGCATGCAGCATAGCTCCTGGGTTTGGAGATTTAATGACCAACGCTGTGGCTGTGTGGGCCTTGCCTTTCTCCTGTAGCCTTTCACACAGAAGGAGTACAACCTCAGTCATGCTCTCTGCTCCTCTCCAGCTCTGTAAGAGCTGGTAATGCAGCAGGGGTTGAACACAAGGGTCTTACGTGCTGTTCCCTACTTCAGTGCCTGGCTCTGGAGCCTACTTGGGCTATAGATACATTCAGATTTGAGAACCAGTACAGTACTACAGGAAAAACACCTCATTTATAAAATGAAATTATTAATAAACCTGAATTCCCTTTGGAGATTCAATAACTCACCACATCTGGAAAAAAGCAGATCTTCCTTTCTGAAAACTTTCAGGAATTGGACTTTGGAGTTACGGTCTGGGACAAAAAACAGTGTGAATGATTAATTGCCTGTGCTGCTGCATGTCTGCTAGGCAGGTCAAAGACCCTAAAACCCCAGCTTGTGGAGAACACGTCAATGTTTTGCCTCAAAAGCAAGTTTATATCTCTGTTCCTTCCTGCATACAGCAACCCCAAGCATTCAAGAAGGGATGCTAGGCTCCATACCGACAAAATGGAGAGATGGTCTGTGTCTTGGTACTCACGCTCTCCCCTCATGAGCATCAGCGTCTCTAAACACCATGCCGGTGCACAGCAAATTAAGACAGAAAGCACCTCCCCCCCGGGGTACCCAAGCCCTTCTTCCCAGCACCTCAAAAATCATGCTAAGACCCTGGGGTGGGGAGCAGCTTGTCCTGACTCTTCTAGCTGTCAGACAGCGATGCTCAGGAATATTTTCCTTTCTCATTTCTAATGCTTGCAATATTTACCTTCTCTCCCTAGTTCGTGTCTGGTTTTCTTCTCTCTTGCCTTCTCTTTTCTCTCTTTCTCTTTTATTCTTCCTGTACACACCCTCCTCGAAACCAGGCTGGGGTCTGGGGAAGGAAGCTTCAATTCCCAGTATCGCAGCTCCCTCTATCTGCGGGCTGCGGCTTCCCGGCCTCCCGCCGGGCTGAGATGCTCGGCTCGCCGGCTCCGGGCAGGAGGGGAATTTCCAGAGCAAGTTGCACAATCCTGTTGGCTCAGGCTGCACGGGGGGAGCACGCATATCTGGTCTGTATTAGGCGTTTTCGGGAAATCAGGTGACTTTGGGGAAAAGGGAGGGCAACAGTGTTTTCGGCTGCCTCCCCTCTCCTCCTCTTCCCCCTGCCTTTTAAAAGTTAGGGACAAAATCCTAAGGGTGGAGAAAAGGGAGAGGCCACGTGAGAACGGGTCCAATGCTTTTGGATGGCAAAAAATTGTTCAATCGTTCTGTCCAGAGACCACTTTGCCGGAGTCCAGTCTGTTACCGCAGCTTGGTGGCCACAGGGCTGCTGCCGCTGCTCCTCCTCTGATGCTTCAGAGACCCTTTTTTAGGGGAAAAAAGGAAAAGATAGTGGCCCATTCAATGCTGTGCCTCTCTGAGGCTACCAGCAGGAGTAAGAGTGCATTGTTTTGCTGGGTTTTGTTATGGGAACACTCCAGTAAGTAAGAACTGGACTAAAAACTTCTAACTACCTCTTTATTTACCAAGTGAACTTCATGTAAGAGCAACTGTTCATCAGATTTAGCCCTGGAGCAAGTTAGATCCAGGACCCTTACGGAAAGGAGTTTCAAGACTTATGCCAGGTAGGACCCTTAATCCAGCCAGTGCCCACAAGCCAAGACCAAAATACCACCGTACAAGCTAAAAGACCTGTCACTAATACTCTAAAAAACCCCTTTTCATCATAAACCATCTACACTGGGACAGGACTATAAATGAAAATGTAAAATTCCATTACAACCTCTACCCTTTACAATCAGCACAGCACACTCCATAGCTTGTTTTTTGCCAGGAAAAAAATGATTCAAGTTTCAACAGGCCATAGGCAAAGTGGGTTAGCAAAGCCCAGCTGAAAGGCTCCTTTATATTGTCAGGGGGGAGAAACACCTACAGATGAATCATTACTGACTTCATTGTAGTCAGGATAAAGGCTTTACTTGAAGAACATGCCTAGTCTGTTTTCTTTGTCAAACTGAGAATGGATAGAGAAGAAAACAGCGTGTCATCTCACTTCTGATGTCTCCTGGGAGCACAGCTTGATGTTTCTAACTGCAATTTTGAGAACCAGGAAAACAACGATGAAAGATACATAACATATCATGGGGAGATGTTTTCTCCTCTAAACTGGGCAAAGTAAAGACCCTGCCAGTGACTGTTCAAGTCACAATCATATTTTAAAATGGGCATGGCAGAAGTAAAATGAGTGTGGGCTGATATATTATGCATGTCATTTCATCGCAAGGGAATTGTATATTTTCATAGAAACCTGACTCAACTTGGCTGTAGCAGTGGTAAATTAATATGTGTGTGAATGTTCATAATTCTTTAGAAGACATATGCCTATTAATTAAGAAAAAGATGAAGTTAGTTAAATAAAAAGGTAGCTGCTTTTTATCTGGGCACGTATCTGCATAATGCTAACTATTTATGCAGAAGACCTGTGATATTGAGGTATATACTTACATTGAATACACATACAGCATTTGATTGCATTGGCCTAGACCTGTATTGTTTTTACAATTCATAAGATGAACCAGCGAGGTAATATATTTTACAATTCACTGAAACTATGTCAGAAATTATATTAAAATAATAATTTAAAAGAGGCAAAATCATGCCATTAAGGGTAATAAATGATAACATTAAGTTTGCCAATGCAATATAATTCTGCTCAGAGGCACACACATTCTCTTAAATTCCTAAATTACATGACCACATACTACTTTTCCCAAATTGCATAAGACAAACCTTTTCTTAAGATGACTCAGAGCTGCGTAGCTGTAACCTTTCTGCCAGATGTTATGAAGAGCAGTAGTGTTCCAGTTTTCATAAAATTACCATCTAAAACAGGCTTGACGGGCTTTTCTTCCCCCAGGAAGTTGGGAGAAAAAAAGCTTTTCCCAAGTTCTTAAGAAAAGCCACACTTTCCCATCTGGAAACACTGAGTCAGTGCATGAAGCAAAGGGAGTAAATACCAAAAGAGAAAACATAACATTAACCAGGTGAAATCCATCAGCAGGTAATCAAGGATATAAAAGTAGCAAGTAAAATATCTTTGATTTACCAAGACCTTGGCAGTAATTTGCCCATTTCCCCTTCTGCCAGTAAGAGGATTCAGTGGGTTTCTTGCATGCTCCCTTCCCCGCCTCGTTCTTAAGACCCAGGCAGGTTTTGTTGCCAGGGATTAAATTCAGAGCCTTGGGTAAGCCCCAGGAAAACCTGCCTGTGCGCTGGCTCAGACCTGCTCGGTATAACCCACCGATTTCCACCTCTGCCTACTGTACCGGGGGGATTTTCACCAGAGTCTGTTCACCTCTTTTACTCCCCTCCAGCACCGAGCCTGAACGCAAAGCTCCTGCAGCCTCCCAGTAAAACCTGGGACTCGGGAGCGTTCTCCTCCGTGCCCTGTACCACACCGAGATACCTGCTGCCTTCTGGACTCCCTTCCCCTACACCCAGGGGTGCGGCTTCAAGCGCCTGAGACTGTTAAGCACAGACGATGCCTGCCCAGGCGTTGCGCCACTTTCCCTGCAGACCAGAAGCCCTACCATCTTGTTTACACCCCAGGCCTTTTCCCAGTGGGCGAGGGGCTCTGACTCACTGCTGGAGATACCCCACGGGGGATAACTGGCGTGGGTTCTGCCACAGCCTTCCTAGGGATGTCCATCCTCACCGCACGCACAGCATTGCTGGCGGTGAACCGGTGGCTGAAGAGCAACGGTTTAGTATTTTCATCCATTAGAGTAAAACATTCCTAAGTAGCTTGGCTTACTTTAAACCACAGGACTATAAACTGCAGCAGCGGAGCAGCTGCTGTGAGAGGAATCATAGAATTGTTTAGGTTGGAAAAGACCTTTAAGATCGTCGAGTCCAACTGTCAACCATGCCCGCTAAACCATGTCCTGAAGTGCCTTGTCTATGTGCTTTTTGAATACCTCCAGGGATGGTGACTCAACCACTTCCCTGGGCAGCCTGTTCCAATGCCTGACAACCCTTTCAGTAAAAAAATTTTTCCTAATATCCAACCTAAACCTCCCCTGCTGCAACGTGAGGCCATTTCCTCTTGTCCTATCACTTGTTACTTGGGAGAAGAGGTGGACACCCACCTGGCTACAACCTCCTTCCAGGTAGTTGTTAGAGACCGATGAGGTCTCCCCTCAGCCTCCTCTTCTCCAGACTAAACAGCCCCAGTTCTTCTCATAAGACTTGTGCTCCAGACCCTTCACCAGCTTCGTTGCCCTTCTCTGGACGCGCTCCAGCACCTCAATGTCTTTCCTGTAGTGAGGGGCCCAACGCTGAACACAGGACTCAGGGTGGCCTCACCGGGGCCAAGTACAGGGGGACAATCGCCTCCCTGCTCCTGCTGGCCACACTATTTCTGATGCAGGCCAGGATGCCGTTGGCCTTCTTGGCCACCTGGGCACACTGCTGGCTCATCTTCAGCCGGCTGTCCACCAGCTCCCCCAGCTCCTTTTCCACCGGGCAGCTTTCCAGCCACTCTTCCCCAAGCCCGTCGCGCTGCCTGGGGTTGTTGTGACCCAGGCGCAGGACCCGGCACTTGGCAAGGTGACATTTCTGCAGCGGGACCGGTAACTTCCAGAAGACGGCTAGCCCCGGCCAGCGGGACCGAACAAGACGCTCGAGCTCTCTCCGGCGCGCCGGCCGCTCCTGCCACGCCACCAAGCGATGAGGGCTCCATCAGCCGCAGGGACGGGCGAGGGTCTCCTGCCTGTTCCCCCCACCCCACACGCACACACACGCGCCGCTCCCCAAATCTGAAGCGAAGGGCAGGGGCCCAGCTCGCCGCCGCAACCAGGCCCGGCAGTACCGAGAGGCGGCAGCAGAGACCGGCTGGCTGCCCGTCCCGGCAACAAAATGGATGTCAGCGGGGTGGTGTGCCCGCTGCTGCGCCCCCTGAGACACCCCCCCCCACAGCCCCCTCTCCCCCAGCCCTGTGTGTGCCGGTCACCCAGCGTGAACGGGGGACACAAACTGCAAACCCCGAATATTCGGGGGGGGGAATGGAGCCAGCGGTGGCTGAAGAACAGCCCCTGACACCACATTTATTTGTGCAGTCATTTCCACACCGAAAAGGCAAACCACTTTCAAGCAGACCATTCCCTCCCCGTCGCAGTCCCAGTTTCTCCGACTCTCTCTGGTTTGTCATTCACCCGTTCCCAGCCTTTTTTCCCCACTGGCGCCAAGGCCTCCTATCCATCCTTCTAATGAAAACTTATTTTCATGGGTTCCCCTGCCTGTTATTCCAAGCCGTCACCC